GCCCGTGCAGGCACAAGGATAACCCCCAGCTCCCGTGCAGGCACAAGGACAACCCCCAGCGCCCGTGCAGGCACAAGGACAACCCCCAGCTCAGGTGCAGGCACAAGGACAGCCCCCAGCGCCCGTGCAGGCACAAGGACAACGCCCAGCGCCCGTGCAGGCACAAGGAAAATCTCCAGCGCCCGTGCTGGCACAAGGACAGCCTCCAACTCCCGTGCAGGCACAGAACCAGCCCCCGGCTCCGCAAACCTGTCAGGCTCTCCGTCAACGTAAGTTTCATACCGTTTTTGCTTTCTTTTTGTGTTTCTCCCTTGACTGTCAGTGTTAGTGTGTTCAATCTTAATTTCTAACGTTACGTTCATAGAATCCAATTAGTATACATCAAACAGAGCCAAAATGTCATTATCAGTAATTAGGCATTTGTAGCATCCTTTCAAATTATAACAAAGTGACTACACAGGCAACACAAGTAATCCAGCAAACAGACCACTCTTAGAAAATTTATTCAGACTTGCTGATGTCTATTTGCAAGCAAGTAACCAATATAAGCGCAAATAATTACAACTTGTGCTTTCTTTTATCTTTAGTCACCAGGTTTTTATGCTCACCTTCACAGAAGAAATATATTGTCTTTGCTGTTCATTTTCAAACAAAATAAGGTCAATGGCATAGACCAGACGGCTGATACCATGGTAATTGGTACTGTTGCAGAAACCCTGTGGGTTATATTGCATCATATGAAGCAACTTGGAGGTGATAAAATGTGTCTGTATCAGTATATTTTGTCTTGCAAATGTAATTACATTAATTGAGATGATTCAACAGCAAGTAATGCAGTGGCATTTATTATGTGCCCAGAGGTACGCTCCTTATAAGTAAGTGTGTAAGTAAAGTACTCTGGGTCAAAGAGTACCCTTAGTGCCTCCACGTAACAAATTTTCTCTTTTGTCACGTTCCTTGTAGTTAGGTAACCATGTTGTGGTCAAATATACTAAATTTACTAGTAACAATACTGGGTCTCTACTCCCTCGTTAACCAACTGTCAAACCACTTACAAAAACCCGGTTCTTCGAACCACGACCTCCTTATGGCCCCAAATGTTGACACCAAGTTTACTCCTAGTATTCTGAACCTACTTAACCTTCATAAACACCAGAAAAGCCAACCCAATTCACTTAGTCACCCACTCAAATCAATTTCTGTATCCATCGCCCTTTTAGTTATGCTGACTCAATCAGGGGACCTGCACCCTAATCCAGGCCCTTACAAGCCAAAATTTCCATGCCTTCTCTGCAACAAAGCAGCAAAATGGAACCAACGTGCCATCCAATGCGACGAATGTGAGGGATGGTACCACGTCGATTGCATGGCCATGTCAACTATAAACTATAATATCTTAGCGAACCATAACAGCATGGAGTGGATCTGTTGCCAATGTGGATTACCGAACTTCACAAGCTCACTCTTCAACAGTAGTGACATTGAAACATCAAACAGCTTTGAAAGTTTGTCCTCAATAAATAACCAGTCAAATATTTGTAGTAATCCCAGCCTAGACGATAACCACAGTAATTTATCCAAAACTGGATCCCCCAAATCACCCTTGGCTACATCGTCTCCTAACCAGTATAAACCTAACAAACGTAAAACCCCTAAACAGAAACTAAAGGCTTGTGTAATAAATTTTCAGGGTATACGTAACAAGACAACCGACTTAGCAGTATGCCTAGACCAACACTCTCCGGATATAGTCTTGGGCACGGAAACACACCTAGACGACTCAGTTAACAGCAGTGAATTATTCCCCCCAAATTACACAGTCATAAGAAAAGACAGAAACTTTGGGAAAAGGGGAGGGGGGGTCCTGCTAGCCTTTAAGAACGACTTCGTAGTCACACATAGAGTTGACCTAGATACCGATTGTGAAACTGTGTGGGCAACCATTGAAATACAAGGAACTAAACCAATAACAATCGGATCTTGCTACAGGTCGCACACCTATGCTAAAAACATCGACTTCATAGATAAACTACGAGACTCACTAAATAAATTAAAACCTCAAGGGGGCCAGGTTTGGTTGGGAGGGGATTTTAATTTCCCTGGTATTGACTGGAACAACACTTGTGTAAACTCTACTGCACCCTACAGTGTACTATCAAAAGGTTTCCTTGAGTTAACACATGACTTTGGCCTAGAACAAATGGTAAACCAACCGACCCGTTGTAACAACATCTTAGACCTCTTCTTAACTAATAACTCGTCACTTGTTGACAACTGCTTACTTATCCCAGGTATAGGGGACCATGATGGTATTCCAGTCATCACAGTTAATGTTAAACCCAAAAAGGTTAAACAAAACCCCCGAATCATCTCACTTTGGGACAAAGCCGATATAACCGCAATTAAAAATGAGCTAAATGAATACAGTAATAACTTAACAAAACGTAACACTGTAAACTCTACAACTGAAGAACTCTACAACGAATTTATAGGTAAAATCAAACTAGCAATGGATAAGCACGTCCCAACCAAAACAGTTAATAATAATAACTCCTCACCCTGGATTAACAACAAGGTTAGGAAAATACACAGGAAGAAGCAACGTGCCTATAACACCTATCGTAAAAACCCAACTACAGAGTCGTTAAACAAGTTTCGCACCCTTCGTAAGCAAGCAAAGAAGACAACCAGGAAAAATTACCGTAAATATGTAAATTCAATTTGTACCGACTCCCCTAAAAAGTTTTGGTCGCACATAAAACACTTGAAACAGGAAGCAACTGGTATCCCTAGCCTCAAACTAAGAGATAAATTAGAATCAGATAACAGAATCAAAGCAAACATACTTAACACCCAATTTAGTTCTGTCTTTACTGAGGAAAAAAAACAACTCCCCCACCTCCCCCGCAGTACCATTCCCTCAATACCAGAATTCAGCATTAATACTAACGGAGTTATCAAACTCCTGAGTGAACTGAATCCACACAAAGCTAGTGGACCAGACGGCCTCTCAGCAAGAATTCTTAAACTAGCGGCCGTAGAGTTAGCCCCAGCCCTAACCTTAATATGTCAGAAATCTTTAGAATCAGGCCAAATCCCGTCCACTTGGCTACACGCAAACATCACTCCCATTTATAAAAAAGGTGATAGGACGAAACCTTCTAACTATCGCCCCGTCTCTCTCACTTGTGTTTGTAGTAAGGTTATGGAGCACATCATCCACTCCCAGATAATGGACCATTTTGATATGTATTCTATCTTAACTGAAAACCAACATGGTTTTAGGAAGAAACATTCGTGTGAGACTCAACTTGTCCAAACCACAAATGACTTAGCCTTTTCCTTAGATTCCAAATCACAAACTGATCTAATCATAACTGATTTCGCCAAAGCCTTTGATAAGGTTCCCCATAACCGTCTTCTCTTAAAACTACATAATTACGGTATCCGAGGCAAACTCCTCCATTGGATTTCTAACTTCCTAAAAAAACGTAAACAAAGGGTAGTAGTTGGGGGGAACATTCAGACTGGGCAGAAGTAGTTCCAGGAGTACCCCAAGGCACCGTACTAGGGGCCTTTATTGTTCCTAGTATACATAAATGATCTGGCCGACAACCTTAACTCTAACATCAGGCTTTTCGCCGACGACTGTGTCATTTACAGAGAAATAAATAACGACAATGACCATATCCTACTACAAGATGACATAAACATGTTAGATGCATGGCAGAGCAATTGGCAAATGGAACTACACCCTGATAAGTGCTACGTCATGCGCTACACCCATAAACGCAAAACTAAAGTATTTGACTATAAACTAGGGAGCCATACACTAGCTGAGGCTAACAATCACAAGTACCTAGGGGTTATCCTAAACAACAAACTTTCTTGGACTGAACATATTCATCATATTACTTCCAAAGCAAATAAATCATTAGGTTTTATTAAACGCAATCTCTATAGCTGTCCTAAATCAGTTAAGATGAATGCATACACTAGCTTAGTCAGACCCCATCTTGAATACGCTAGCGCTGCATGGGATCCGTACTACAAGGAACATATTCACAAGATAGAATCGGTCCAGAAAAGAGCGGCCAGATTTGTCTCTAATACCTATGATACTTATGCCAGCACTACCAAATTGGTCACAGATTTAGGGTGGGACACATTAAAGGACAGACGCACAGCAAGTAGACTCACATTACTTCAGAAAGCAAGACACTCAAAAACAGCCCTTCCGGTCAAAACCTTGTTGACGCCTATCCCGCGCCAATCACGACACTTCAACTCCAACTCATACAAACCCCTAACGTTTCACAAAGACTGCTACAAATATTCATATTTTCCACAAACTGTCAGAGATTGGAACATTTTGCCCCAAGAAATAACCGATACTGCGGAACCCACGAAGTTCAACGCTGCAGTACTACAACACCTGAGGAAGCAGCAATAACGCATCGCACAGCTCCCCTGCACGTTTTACCCCAATCTAGGGGTGTTGTGCAGTACCCGAACAAGACAAGACAAGACAAGATGTACATTGTTTGCTAAGAATATCGTGTTTCTAACTATTAGTAAAAAGCCCCGATCATAGTTATCCATTATTGACAAATAAAAGTATGTGTACAGCTGAACTTTTAACATCTAAAACATCACATCAACAAAGCTCTGGTTGGTATCAAAGTTACTAACCTGCAAACTAATATTTTTACACGTAATTTTAACTTATGAATGTATCACAATACAGTTTTGGGTTCAAGGTTGTCATCGTTTCCCTCTATTGCGAAGCTTTTGGAGGGAGGGATAACTACACCACAGTTCCCATTTCAATGACGTCTTGTTGAGGCAACGCGAGTGCACGTCTTAGTTGCAGCAGCCTCTCTTCTAGCCCTTCTGGGGTCGGTCTTGTATCTGGAACGTCACGCCAACACGACCTCATTAGTCCGTACATGTCCTCCGGACATCCCTCTGGCATCTCCAGCCGTTTTCCTTGCCTCAGAATCCCCACCATCTGGAGAAAGCTCAGCTGAGCCCTGCCATCGTAGCACGGATCTTTCCCCAGCGTGGCGATCTCCCACAGCAGCACGCCGAAGGACCAGACGTCACTCTGACAGGTGTACTCGCCGGTCTCGATGGACTCCAGCGCCATCCACTTCAGCGGTAGGAGTTCGTCCACGCCCGGAGTGTCTCTTCGTACATACTGAGTAGAGGTGTAGACATCTCTGGCCAGTCCAAAGTCAGACAACTTGGCCACGCCATCTGCGGTGATCAGGACGTTTCGAGCGGCCACGTCACGATGAGCGATTCTCAAGCGTCCCAGTTCTTGTAGAGCCCTTGCTATGTCAACTGCGTATCCAAGAAGGCTTCCAAGTAGGCCTGCCTCGTCAATGTCAACTTTTTGGCGTAGAAAATATAAGAGATCGCCTTTTGGGGCATATTCCAGAAGAATGTACTTCTCGGTAGACTTGGTGATGAGTCCAACAAGACGAACAATGTTGGAATCACGACAATCGCCATTTCGTTGTTGGTGTACGGCGACCAATATGGCTGCTTCTCTGTAGAAGTCTCGATAGGACTGCGAGTCCTCGACGCGAACTGTCTTGGCGGCAACAGCGAGCTCTCCCTCAGGTGTGCGCAGTTGTGCCTTTCTGACTAGCCCAGATATTCCTAACCCTATCAGGGGACCAGGAGTAAGATGACGGGCCTTCTTCTCCCAACGTACCAGCCAGCCGGGCTGTAGACTCTGTGCTAGATCTTGCTCCATTCTCCTCAGCTCTAAAAGGATCTTCTCCTCCTCACCTGCGTCGGGCGCGGAACGGGACAGAGAGCCAGTTTTGTACAGTATTGCCGTCCCTATGGCAAAAAGGAAGACTAAGGAGGGCAGTATGACCAGGTTTGTGATCAACGATTCGTCTCTGCTTGTCTGCCATTGGTCACAGTTCCGTCCCGTCCACGGCGTCACACATGCGCAGCTGCCGTCAACGTTACTACATGTGGCATTGTTCTTACAGCCACAAACACCGTGACAACCCTGACCGAACCGACCGTTTAGACACGGTTTGCTGCAATCCCTTCCGTACCAACCATCAGTGCATCCACACCGACCGTCGCTAGAGCTACAGCTCGCCCCGTTTTGACAACTACAGTTCCTTGCACAGTCTTTGCCGTAAGTGCCATTGAGACATTTTGTCTGACACCTGGTTCCCGTCCATCCCGGCGGACAGACACAACCGGCCCACCGGTCACAGCTGGCACCTTGTAGGCAATCACACACTTCCTCACACCCGGCACCTTTTCTGTCTGGAGCACAGTTGGTAACATTGAGCACAAACGTGGTGTTGAGTGTGTTTCCCCGGGTGTCTCGGACCTGGCAGCTGTAGGGTCCGCTGTTAGTCGGTTGTATGTTCGGAACCACAACGTCAATCTTAGTTAAACCGACGCTGATATCCTCTGTCGCATTTGGATATCTAACCGACATGTACGTAACGTCGACATGGTGGGCCTTGCAGTGAAACGTGAGGTTTGCGGAGATGTAGATGTGGCGAGGGTCGCTGGGTGTCGTCGTGATGGAGACGTCCTGTTTGGGAATGTCACAGGCCACACCTTTCCAGCCGGGCGGACATTTGCAGGCGCCGTTAAACCCGTGGCAGCGGGCGCCGTTCTTACAGATGCAGGTTTTGTCGCAGAGAAAGCCGTACTTTTCTTGTGGGCAGCCCGTGGGTTTTATTTGAATGTCCAGATATTCAATATTTACTATCTGTTGTGGTTTGACTGGGATATGAAAATGTGGAATCTCACAGCGATATAGCCTTGCTTCTGTTGTAGGAAATGACAAGGAAATCATAATGATAAAGTTCAAATTTGTGTTCTTTACGATGGATTCAGGAACGTGCATTGCTAATCGGTCTAAGGCAGAACTTTCACCAAATTTAAGACTATACAAGTTCACGAATAGTTTGGGTGTTTTGTCATCCGCCGTGCACGTGAACTGTTGGATGTCATTGTTCCAAAGATCTTGCAGAGCTACTAAATTATCAATATGGTCAGTGTACCCAACTACGTGAATGTTGCAATTACTGTTGTCTGTTTGCAACTGCCAAGGTTGCCACTGTGTATTGGGAGAAAAGTCAGGAAAGGTTCTGCCAGACAAAATGTCTCCATAGACTGTCACAACTTCCCATGCCACATCAAAACTGTACATGAAATCACCCGTCTCACGGTCAGGGTTGACAGGAGTTTCACACGTCTCGTTATACACAGGAGGATAGCCCTCAACGTCAGTCAACTCTACCTTAACAGTCGTGTTGCCAACTCCACTGCGAATATTCAGCAGATATACCGGCTGTACTGACCAGTCCAGAGGGTTGGCGACCACAACAGTGCAGTTCTCCTTCACATTAAAGCGGCCGTACGGATCTCCCTCCATTTTGGCACACGGAAGTTCCGCTTCTTGTCCAGACCGGGTCCCTGGTAGGCTGAAAATGGTCTCCCCAACAGCGACGTTTTCTCGTACCGAAACGCTGAACTCCTGAGCCTCAGATAAGTTAAGAACCTGGACAGAAACAACCCAGAAACCCACAAGAAGCAATCCCTGCAAGTCTGTTGCCATGGTTTCAACTAAACTTGTGTCTTTAATGTTGAAAAAAGGTCTTAGAGGAAACGGGACGGATTCTCATGACACTTCCTCGTCCCTGTCAAGGGTCATCGCACACTTAAACGGTGCACACCCCAGTTCTTCCGCGACAGGGGTCCGTGGTAGTCCGTTGTAAAAAAAAGTGACGAAAGGGTTTTGAGGGTCCAAGTTTGAGGTGACATTTCTCATAAACTATCATTAAACATCAACATGGCTGAAAAGTGTAAGAAATGGTGATTTTGGGCTGAAAATTCCTTTTGCCTCCGAACCTTACTTCCGGGTATCCTTGCGCGCCGAGTGTAATCCGCCCGTTTGACATATATTTCGCGCGAAATCTAGGTCAAACAACAAACTACGCAATCTAGGTCAAACAACAAACTACGTAACCGTGTCCAACATCTTGAGGAACAGATCGGCGCTCTCCAATCTAAGTCACTGACTTTCAAAGAGACATTGGTGAGGTGAAAACTTGCCAGAGAAGTCAGGGAAATATGAAAGACGCCATCCTGGATAAGGTAACGTCTGCGCAACCAAAATACAGTGCTAGAATATGCCGTGGGCACTTCTAACCGGTTTGATGCACTGCAAGGCTCCCTTACCCTATAGACACCCCGACCAATCTAATCTGGACATTGCTCCAAAACTGGTACATTCCTCACAAAAGTCGGACGTTCCTCCGCGTTTTAGCGTACATTCCTCCATTATCCTCATACTAATATATACATGAATATATTAGTATATAATATATGTTGCCAAATACGATTCTTTTATACAGAAATCGTATTTACAGAACCGCAACACTAGTTACAGCGAAAGTCTCCAGTTTTGTTGCTCTAATGACATTCCCTTTCTCTAAATAGGACTGGGCAGTGGGAGTACTTAATGTGGTAGTGGTGTAGTGATTGGTTTATTGAAAAGAGCAATGAACATATCAGACTTGCAGTAAAAACTGAATTGTGCTGATATTTACAACTTATAGGATTATACAATACTAGTAGATATAAAAGAGAAACTTACACTTGTAATATTCTAAATTTATAAAAACCATCGTCGTCATCATATTATTATAGCAATATTATTAAAACAATATAATTTCTCACGAGTATAAAATCACTACTGTCATTCTACATTAAAATGACTGAAAGTCTTTGAAGTTTTAAAAGTTAGTCTGGTACGAGCGCTAAGGATATGTACAGTTGGCGGTAATAATTCGATTTGACACAATAAACAATCAATAGTACTGAGATTAGGGTCCAGCCCGATTAAAAAGTTTGTTAAGAAGTTTGTAGTCCAACCAGGAGTTTTGCTAGTGCAGGGATCGCACTGGTTGTGTAGCGCTGAGTGCCCTTGGCCTGGCAGTAATGGAGAGAGTTCCTTAGCGATCTACCGTGTAGTTGTCCTTTAGTCGATGGCAGCCAGGAGCAGAAACGTGACGATTGTCTGATTTTGGTTGCAAAGTTAAGGCATAGGTCGTGTCTACGATCAGACAGAGTTGGTAGGTTCAGGATCTGTAAACCGTCCACGTATGTAATGTAGTGACGGCCTAGCATAATCCTACAGGCCCGTTTTTGAACCCGTTCAAGCCGGTTGACTTGCCTGATGTTAAGGGCAGCATTCCAGACGGGTACCGCGTATTCAAGGAGTGGACGAACGTATCCGCAGTAGATAGCACAGAGGTCGTCTGGTGGGAGACCGGCCCGCCGCAGTCTACACAGGAAAAATAGGCGTTTGCTTCCCTTAGACACCATACTGTCAACTTGAGAGTCCCATCCAAGATCCGACTGAATCTGAATACCAAGTAGTCGTGCTTGCTTCACCACACTAAGCGTCTGGCCTCCTAGCGTTAGGACTGGGTCAGGGGGAGGAGTTTTCATGAAACAGATTTGCAGTACTTTACACTTCTTGGGGTTTAGAAGCATATGGTTTCTATCCGACCATTCGTCTAGGTTGTTCAAGTCATTTTGTAGGGATGAAGGTGAGCATATCGGTCGGTTTTCGCCCAAGTTGAGGTCGTCGACATACTTCCAATATTCACTGTTTGGTGTTCCAGCGTCATTAATCATGGTCAAGAAGATCAGGGGTCCTAGCAAAGTTCCCTGTGCCACCCCACAGGTAAGTGGTTCCCTGTCCGACAGGACATGCTGGTAACGTGTGACAAGCACAACTTGCTCATCCCAGTTCTTGACCATCTACAAGCGCAATGAGAATGTGGTATACATCCGGTGGAGACAAAGCCTGGCACCAGTGGTGAACAACCGCAGACGAGCAGCCAACACGGCCGAGCAGGTGAGATGGAATCATTCCCTTCGTAAAGAATAATACAGTATTTGGCTACGTATTTTTAATTTGTATTTGAAAGTGAAAGCTGCATTGTCCTGTAGCAAGTTGCATGGGAAGGAAGGTACGAATAGCACAGTTACAATGTACAGCTTAGAAATAAATTGTTCGTCTTAGAATCACACCATTTAAATAAAAAAACTAATATGTTTATCTCATACTCCCGCATTTTTGTACATCTTCCACGTCTAAACAGCATATTTACGCCGCGTACTCCACGTTATCTGGTAAAGCAGTTTGGTACACGCTATTCCCCGGTCTTACAGCTTGAGTACTATCAGGCTGTAAGATTTTGTGTTATTGATCCGATGCACAACTTGTTTTTAGGAACTGCGAAGCGATTTGTTTCAAACATGGGTAGATCGGGAGATTCTGACCCAAAAAAAAGACTTAGATGTTATCAGCAAACGCATTGGAATGGGCGCCTCCCGAAAAGAATAGCGCCCAACTTCGGAGGTAAAGTTGAACACTGCCCAAGAGTGGGAAAACTGGACACTGTATTATTCCTCATATTGTCTTCAGGGATTCCTCCCAAAAGAACACTTGTTGGCAGTTGTTTGTGCTGGCCTGCAAAAGAATGTGCCAGCCAGTTATGAAGGAAACTGACATAGACTATGCTGATGCTGCATTTGTCATCATCATTGCAAGTGTTTGTTTGGCAAATCTTTTGTAACCCCCAACATGCACCTTCACTGTCACCTGAAACAATGTGTTTTGGACTGTAGCCCTGTGTATGGGTTTTGGCTCGTTAGCTTCGAGAGATTTAATGGCATCCTTGGATCTGAGTGTACAAACAACCGAGAGATTGAAATGCAGTTGATGAGGACATTCCTTGTAAATGGGTTTGCCCATTCGATCTCATTGCCGACCAGTCTACGGGAGGTGTTCGGCAAACTATTTGCAAAGTTTTACTCCATGAGCAGTAGAGATTCCTCACCCGCTGTCAAAATCAGACTCCAAACCACGCGCGGTCAATGTGTCAGATAGCGATTGGTCCGAATGTCCTGACACCATTGTGCTACCTATCAATTTCACCAAAGTTTCCCAGTCCAGAGATGAGAAAGGTTTTCTTGCTAGCGTTTGGTCCTTGATGTATCCACAAGGTACTACTTCAAACATGGCCGAAACAGTCAGGAAGTATATAGCACCTGTCAGGTAGGACAAGAATACTTTGGCTCCAAAGTATGGAGCTGGCACTATGGCCAAGTTTGCAGACTACCCCGTGGACTGCGTGAAGGTGCTGTCTGTGTGTCCCGATTCAGGTGGGGTACTGTATGCCACATTCAAGGGAGACCAAGGGGGTCTGTTCAAGTTTGTAGGGGAGCAGTGGCAACGACTAGTCCACAATGGAACTGATGTGTGTAAGGAGGCTCATACCGTGATCCCCTACGACGTAGCCGATTCTGCCCTTGTGTTCACTGACACGGGAAGTCACCAGGTGAAAACAGTCACACGAATTGGTACAGTACAAGTATTAGCCGGAAGTGGCAGGCCAGGTCTGCAGGACGGTACCTCCCAATATGCCGAGTTCTACCAGCCAAGGGGTGTGTGTAAAGAATTGTCTTGTTTGTTGGTGACAGACGCAGCCCCCGGATCTATCCGGCTGATCACGAACACGGACGCGGCTGCCCTGTTTCTGGAGAAGACGGGTGGACTGTACCGAGCATTTGGGATGCACGTTCGACATGAAGATCCTCCGCAGAAGTCAGTGGCAGAGGCGTGTGATACCCTTGACGACCTAAATGCTTTTTTAAAGGCATGCAAGGAGGAGGTAAATAAAGCGAGGCAAAAGACTGGCGCCACAAACGGAAAGGAAGGGACCGTATCGAGTAAAGACACAAGACAGCGTCCAGCTCTTAGCAGACGGAATGCGGGACTTCCACGCAAACTTGATGACCCTCAATAATGACTACAAACCAGACCTCTCATCCCTCCTCACCTTAGCAACAGAAAGTATCCATGCCACACATCACCTCAAACACCCAACAACAACAGTCCTGGATACGCCCAAGAATTCAGCAGTACTATGAA